CTTCAGTTTCAGCAACTCCAGTGGGAGTGGAAGAGAGCTCTCTGAGTAGCAGCAGAGATTGTGATAAAATCCAGCTGCTGGAGGATGGACCATGAGTAACTACATAGATGGTCATTTATTTGTGAAACATTTCCGACTCAGGGATAGCTTAATTGCTTGCTGGATACCTCAACTCAAATGATCCTCAGACACCTCAAATTCAACATGTCTAAAAGCTTATCAGTCCATCAAACAATTCTTCTTATATTTCCTACGTTTTGTAGCTGGTTGTACCACCATATATCCAGTCTCTAAAGCCAGAAATCTGGAGCTTATCCCAGACTCTTCTCTCTCCTCTTCATCCCCCATATTCTATTAGTCAAGTCAATTCCAACCCCTATATTTGTGTCTCACATATTATAGCAGCAGCCTCTTGACTGTTCTCCCCTATGCAAACTTGTATTTCATTCAATTTTCCACATGCCAGCAGTTATTTTTCTAAAATGAACGTTATTTCCTTCTTAAAGTCTTTCAATAGTTGCCCCTTGCCTCTAGGATAAAATCCTCAGCTCCTAGAATTGCATATAAAACTATAATCCAACCTCAAATTATATACTCTAAATTCTAGCTGTACCAAACTAAAACAAAACATCCCATTAAAACACCATATTACCTTAGCATCCTTTGTGCCTTTACATGTGTGAAAATGAAAATCTCTTTTTAATCTACTCACTTATCCTGTCACCTGTCTACCTAGTGATACATTTTATTTATTCTTCACATCTCAGCTCAGTGATTACTTCCTTGTCTCTCAGGGGCAAGAATACCCTGTACTTCATTTTAACATTTATTACTCTGCAGTGTAATTGTGAGCATGTCTCTCTTTCAAGTTGAGCTGTGTCAGGAGAAGGAAACTTTAACTTGTTTATATTCTGTGCTATGCACATAGTAGGTGCTCAATAAACTAGTTAACTGAAAAAAAATGTGCCAACCACCTTGTTTAAAATATATATAATAGTGATGTGCTGTATCAAGCTTTTCTAGGTACTAATGGTATCATTATGAAAAGAGAAAGTACTAGTCACTTCTTCCCTTCACCCTCTTCTGTCCCCATTCCCAGGAGCTGTGGTTATCATCTAAGTAAATGACACAGTTCAGCTGCTACATAGTATCCTACCTATCCTTCCCAGGTCTGATGTAAGCACTATTCTTGCTTTTCCTTTTGCAAAGATTGTACTGGGCAGAGATAAGGGTAGAATGTTCTCCTTGAGCCTAGGGACAGAGCTGAAGGGGAATCAAAGACGTTCAGTGCTCAGAACTAGCTCTTCCTTAGGCTTCAAAGTACATGGAATAAGAATGCTCATGTTCACATAGGCAGGAATTTGGGAGGAAAATCTAGCACTGAACAAAATGTTACAATCAACTGGAATATCTTCAGTTAACCACTTGTAAACCAAACTGTAGCAGAAAGAGTATCCAGCACATTTGGGATGCCCTGAAGGTGAATCTAACATAATAATAGCTACCAGCCCTGGCCAGTGTGGCTCAGTTGGTTGGGCATTGTCCTGTACACCAAAAGGTTGCCGGTTCAATTCCCAATCAGGGCACATGCCCAGGTGGCGGGCTCACTCCCCGGTAGGGGGTGTACAGGACGCAGTCAATCAATGTTTCTCTCTCTCCCTACAAATCAATAATCAATCTTTAAAATAATAATAATAGCTACCATTTATTAAGTATCTACTCTGTGCCAGACACCAGGTTAGGTGTTTTATAAATATTACTCTAATTTTTTGGAGCATCCTATGTAGGACTATTTCTCTTTTGCAGATGTAAAAATGGAAGCTTAACAAGTTTGGGTAGCTTTTTCCTGTCACGTAACTACCAGATGTTAAGAGGATTCAAACAAATGTGGCTATTTCCATTACACCACCAGAAAGAGAAGTCTTCTGGTTATCTACTTTAGATCTTGACAAATTATTTTCAAATTGGAATGTGGTTTGATCTTGATTATTGAAAAGATTTTAGATTTTCAATAACCACAAATCCAAATAATAATATCTGATAATAATACATCCTCCTACCAATTTTTTTTATGCCACACTCACCTTGCCCCCTATCCGGACCTGAGCCTGAAGTTTGGCTAACTTTTCTTGATTCATGCTGTTGGTAAATCTAGGGGGGGGAAAAATAGATTTGTTAAAGTTACTGTTTTACCAAAATAAAATAACTGTTTATGCAACAGTACCTTCTGGTTCACTGAGTTTGCAGCATTCATTACCACCATGATCATATTAATACTGCCTATATTCTTAATAAATATTAATAACTTTTTCTAGCTTCATAAACCAGATATTAAAAGAACAAAAATTAAATAATACCACGAGGGAGCCGAATATGCAAATAGAATGGGATTCAAAGTTACCTATTTGAAGATCCCTCCTTAAATGCATGATTCAAGTAAAACCTAACCAATTACAAAATCTCTGTAGGCAAGCCAGTTTTTCCCTCAAAGATTTTTACAGCAGAGAGCTGTTACCAAATGTTATTAGCACAACCTTTAAGTAGATGTTTTTCTCCCAAATCACATTCTGTATTCCTTGTAAGCCATAAATAAAAAACAAACCAACAAAAAAAAGCTGGACAAAGAAAAAAATTCAACAATAGACTGTCTAGCTGTCAAGATATGAGGTACTCATGTCCTCTATTCAAGGTCAGATGGTATGTTAATAACAAGGAATGAGAACCAGATTTTTAGAGGTTCCGTGCTTCTGCAGCACTTTCCAGAGTTCATTCAATACTTTGCAGTGATATAATATGTCATACTTATCAAGATATGCTTGCATACAGGGCATAATGCCTCACTGCACAATTTGACAAAAAACATATCTCTGCTATATTAATACTAAAATTTGGGGGGGGGGGGCGGAGAAGGTGAAGAGACTCTTAATAAAGCCCTTTAAGGCTAAACTTAATTTTGAAAATTCTAAGAACATTATGAATCCTAGTCTGGTCAGTGATATTCATACTAAGGAAAACAGTTCTTAAGTTTATAATGAACCATAACATTCCACACTATATAAACAAATAAAAGCCAATGTTAAAGCCTTGTTTTACTTGTTCTGTGGATCAACAGATCATTACTGAGATGTGAGAGATGGCATAAAGTACAAGCCTTTTTTTGGCCAATTCTCTAACCTCTTTATAATTATCATTCAGATGAAAAAGACTGTTTTCTTCATTTGAGAAGTGAAAGAGAATCAAAGATTATTCCTAAACATCCCATATTCTGACACTGTACTTAGGCACTAACCTGTATATATATCTCTGCTTTAAGGCCAAATAAAGTCCAGTTTCCAAATAACATTTTTTTACATTAATTCAGAATTTATTTACAGTCTTCATTTTCCCAGTTGCGCAGCCTAGTCAAATAACATTTAGAATTTATGATTCCTTAAATCTTCGCTCAGCACTGAATCACAATGTTCAAGCAGCTAAAAACAATCTCTTATAAGAGCAAGTGTGATTAGAATACAAAATCAGAGATCTTTAGTGTGTCATACACTTAAATTTGCTATGCTCAATATCTACAGAAAAGGACCAATATTCACTTTTCTCAAAGGAATTGGCTATGAAGATGTAGTGAACCAACAACGAGCTAAGGACTTTTTTTGACCAAAAAAAAGGGGGCTAAGTGAAACTATTAGAACTAGACATAGGGTAAATAAACCTTTTGGGACTCCTCAGCATTTTCAAGTGACAACCCCCAAGAGATGGAAGAGAAGAGACAGAAATCAAGATAGAGTCCTAACTTGTCTGAAACAAAAGCAACAAAATTAACTATATCAATGTGCACAATAAAAGAATAGATTCCATTTTAGGCAATCAGGACAACAGAGAACTTGTTCTCAAGGAGTATCTCAGAAAAAAAAAGCATATTAGGGAGGTTGGAAGCTCAAGGGGGTAGGGGAAGAAGTGGGGTCCTTTGTCTATCAGCAGGTTGGGGTGTATGGAATTCAAGTAGGAAAGAGGAGTGGTCTGTCTATGAGAAATGTCAAGCTTAGAAATGTAAGCCTTAAAGATCACCTGGCCTACTTCCCTATTCCTCAATCAACCTGTAATTTATTGTCTTGTATGTAAGGCCGTCTCAAATACTTGCCAGCAGCAGCAGGGTAAAAATTATGAACAGTTCACCTCCCTCCCAATTTAATAGATTTGCAAATGAGGGCCCAGAAGGGAGAAGACACTTTCTAGGCCCAAAAGGGAGAAGCAACTTCCTAAGGGCATATGATCCTCGAGCTCTTCCTTGGGGACCCTAGAATCTTTCAGCCTTTTCCTTACGGATTCAAGAAAGGGTATCAGCAATGAGGTTATACTCAATATTTATTGAGTGCCTAAGTTCCCAACATTATAGTAGGCATTTTCACATACATCATGTTTACACAGCGAGATAATAATTTCAGCCCTTAGTCCCGACCTTTTTTTTTTTAATTTTTTTTTTTTTATCGTGTTGGGTTTCTCTAAGAGAGGCATAAGCTTTGCCATCAGAAGAATCAAGGTTCTACCACTCAGCGTTTCGGAAAGGTATTTCACTTCTCTGAACCTGTGACTCTTCTGCACTAGAAAAAGTGTTAACGCCACACACTTCAAAGCGTGCTGTTCATGGTTAAAGGTTATCAATAGCACAGGGTATGACTCACAGTAGATTCGCAAAAACTGGTAACTATTGTTACCAATCCCGAGGGGACAGCTACGGTATAGTCAGTGAAAGGACGCGGGCCAGGAAGTTGAAACCACCATCACTAGCGATGTCACACTGTGTCAGTCGGTCCACCATCCACCTCCTGACAGCCTACTACGCATCCAGAAGTGGGATGGGGCTCTCAAGACCCGCCGGGCAGTGTCCCGGAGCGGGAGGCCGACTGGCAAACAGTTGCTGCCATTAGGAGGTGCGGAGCGCTGCCACGCAATTCGGTCCGGGCGGTAGGGGCCGGGGCTGCAAACCTCAGTTTCCCTCTCTGCCGGGGAGAATCAAATGCGATGACAACGGACTGGCTGTGCACAGCTCCAAGCTCACAACACTGTTTGGATAATGGAGAGTCACAGGACAGAGGCGGGGGATCACCCGCCTCCTGGGGCCGGATCTGGATGGCAACAGCGCGGGCCCGCTCGCCCCCACAGAGGGCGGTGGTGCTGGGGACCTTCCCTCAGGTGCCGACCCCCAGCTGCGCCGCTGGTAACCGACAGGCCAGGCTAGCCGCCTCCGCCCCCACTTCGCGCGCCACGGCGGAAGTGGCAGCCCGAGAGGTTGGCGGGTGTCGGAAGAAGAGGGCGGGGGGAGACCGTGCGCAGCGGCATATGGCCGTGGAGTGGCGGGGCCGCCGGGGGG